CTCTCCATCTCAGCCTCTCCCAGCTCCATCCCAGCTGTTCCTCGCCCCCATCCCTGGCTCAGCCTGGCGGGCAGTCGGTCTCTGCTGATCTGGCTTGGGAAGCCCCCAAGCACCAGAGCTGGGAACCCTGAGGAGAGTGTCCCAGGTCCAGAAGGACCCTCCGGGCTCCAGCCCATGCCGTGGCCTCTGGTCCTGTCCCTGGGCACCCCTGGGAGCGCCTGGCTCACCTCCAGGCACCTCCCTGCAGGTGCCACAGCCCCGGATCCCCCGAGCCCGCTCTGCTCCCGGCTGAGCAGCCCCGGCTCCGCAGCCTTTCCCCAGCACAGGCACTCACTGGGCTCTCCCCAGCCCGGCCCTGTCCCTCGTGTCCTGGGGAGCCACAGCTGGGCCCCACGCTCCGGGGTGGCCTCACCCCACGGGCACCACTTGGGTACCTCCCAATGCAGCCCAGGAACCCCCGGGACCCCCAGGCCCTCCTGTGCAGAGCTGCCCCCCCAGCTGGGCACTGGGGATGACCCTCGGTGCGGTGTCAATCCCTCCATCCCGCCTGCTTCCCGGCACCAGAGCTGGCACGTCCTCGGCACCGCAGTCCCGGGACAGGGAATGTGCCCTCTGTGCCCCCGGCACGTGCAGGGCTGCCATGCAGGGTGGGCACACACACCAGGGTGGTCTCACATGCAGGCAGGGACCCACGGACACCACACCGGGGTGGTTTCACACGTGGGCGGGGACGCCCTGGCACCACAGGGCACGAGGAGCAACATCCCCGTTCCCATTGTCGGAAAGGGCGACGGAGGGTGACGGGATGAACGTGCGGGCGCAACCCCTGCTCAGACCTGCTGTCCCCACCCCAAATCCCGCGTGGCACTGGGGGCTCAGCCCTCGCTCCTCCTCCTGTGGCCGTGCTCCCCAGCCCGGAGCGGGGCCGGGGGGAGCCCCCAACGCCGAGCTCTTACTTTTCTCTGTGGCCTCCAGGAGTTTCCTCCTCCCGCGTTTCTTCTGGGGGTCGGAAGGGGCCAGCTCACCCTCATCGGCCGGGGCGTCCAGGCCCTCCTTGGGGGTGCAGCGGCCGTTCTCCAGCGCCCGGCCGGTCTCTCCGTCGGGAATGCTCTCCGTGTCGTCCTCCTCGGGCCGGCCGCCCTTGGGGCTCGCGCCGCCCTCCTCCGCGTCCCCCTCCACGTCCCCGTTGGGCAGCGGCTCGGCGGGACTGGCCTCCGGGCAGGCCGGGGGGCACTTGGGGACGGCCGCTGTGTCTTTGGGGGTGTCACTGCTTTCCACCTGCAGAGAGGGAGGGGAAGGAGCTCTGGTGGGTGCTGGCAGGGCGGGGCATGGCCCCGGTCACATCCCACCCGTGCCACAAGAGCCACCACCGGACCCCACGGCAGGAGCTCCTGCATCACCTCGGTGTGACCGGCCCCGTGCAGACCCTGTCCCTGTCCCCCTGGCCTGACTCCACTTCCACACCACAGATGTCACAGCACGAAGGCAATCTCTGGGACTGTAGCCCACAGACCCCCCAGACATGGCTCCATTATGTGGCGACAACCTGGGGACATCACGCCAAAAAGTCCAAGTCCCACCTCCTGCATCCCAGAAGTGACAGCTACCAATGCCTGCCGGGAGGCCGGGGCTGCCATGGCACCTTTGGGACCAGGACACAGTGTCACAGCACCCTGGGGGCCAGGACACATGGCCAAGGAACCCTCAGGACCAGGACATGGTGCTTTGCAAGGAGCAGTGACCACTGCACACTCAGGAGAAGGAGAGATGCTGGGACACTTCCATGGCTGGGACACGTGGCCATGAAACCATCAGTGCCAGGACACAGGGGTGTGACATGCTGAGAATCAGATATTGCCATGGCACCTTTGGAACCAGGATGCAATGCCATGACATCCTCAGGACCAGGATGCATGGATGTGACACCCTCATGACCAGGACACACTGCTGTGTCATCCTGGGGACCTGGACACACCATCATGGCACCCTCAGGACCAGGGCAAAATGCCACGGCAATGACAGGACCAGGACACTCCACCATGGCACTCTGAGGATCAGGACACACGGACATGACACCCTCATGGACCAGGACACACTTCCATGGCCTGCTCAGGACCAGGACACGTTACAGCAATACCCTCAGAGCAGGACACAATGACATGGCATCCTCAGGACATGGACAGAGGGACAAGACACCCACAGCACCAGGATGGAAACAGGTGACACCAGGAGGACCTGGATACATCATCATGGCAACTTCAGGATGAGGACACACTGTCATGACACCCCAAGGACCAGGACACACTGCCACGACACCCTCAGGAAACAGCAGACACGTCCACAGCATCCTCAGGACCAAGACACAAGGATGGGACACCAGGGGGACCTGGATGCACTGCCACGACACTTTGTGACTAGAACATAACACCCTGACACCCTCAGGCCCAGGCCAGAACGCTGCCTGTGTGTGACAGCGGGGCACATCACGGGCAGTGCCAACACCACGGGACAGTGCAGCCGTCCCTGGCTGGCTGGCACAGTGACAGAGCAGGGACAGAGCAGGGACAGAGCAGGGACAGAGCGGTGACAGAGCCTGACTGTGAGCCCCGGGGGTGGCTGTGCCATCGCTCACGTGTTCCAGCCCTGGCACATGCCACAGAACAGACCAAGCCGACGGGAGCGTGGGAGACAGTGGGGTCGAGCACGGGACAAGGGCCCGGGGCTGGGGATGGCATCGTGGGACCCTGCCATGCTGCCAGCCTGTGGAGTCGCACAGCACAGCATGGTTCGGCATGGCACAGAACAGCACGGCACAGCTTGGCACGGCATGGAACAGCACTGCTTGGCTCAGCACAGCATGGCTCAGCATGGCACAGAACAGCACAGAACAGCACAGCACTGCTTGGCTCAGCACAGCACAGCACTGCTCAGCTCGGCAGTGGGAGCAGGAGTCAGAGCGAGAGGCACAGCCCAGCTCAGTGGTTTCCGTGGCCAAGGAGAGTGAAAGTGCTGCTGTGGCTCTGCAGAGCTGCTGCTGGCACAGCCCCGGCAGGGTGGGCACGGCCACCGCCACTTGCCAGCCCCTCCAGTTCTGCTGCCACCCCACTCAGTGCCCTCACAGGGGGTGCAGACCCCCCCCCATGCCAGGACACCCCATCCCTGGGGCCTGGCTCTCACTATCCCAGCACCACAGAGCTGCTCAGGCACCGTCCCCCCTGGAGACCCCACACACTGCCACGGGCATGGGGCGCCCACCCTGTTGTCACCTCCAACACCAGCACTGAGCACCCCATGCACAGATACTCACAGGCACCGCTGCTCCCGCCTGGTGCCACCAGTGCTGTCCCGCAGCACAGGAGGGTGCCAGGGTGGCACAGGTGGTGCCAGGGTGGCACAGGTGGTGCCAGGGTGGCACAGCCGTGGGTGGCCACAGGGACCCTCCTGCTTGTGCCCAGCCAACTATGGGTTCCAGGATGCCCCGTTTGGTGGCCGGGTACCAGGGAGGGAACTCTGTGCTGTCGGGGGGCTCGGTGTGCACTGGGGGGCTCGCGGTGCTGCCCCCGGGGAGGGGGCCAGGGAGGGGATGCTGAGGCCGAGGCACAGGCTCAGGGTTGGGATGGCAGGTGGCAGAGGGGTGTCTTTGCTCCCCAAGGTTCCCCAGATTTGTGCCACAGGGCACAGAACCCCCTTCCCCGTGTGCCCGAGGGCCGTGGGCCGCTTACCATGGCGCGTCCCCCCGGTGCCGCCCGGACCCCCGGCCCTGCCGCCCGCGCAGGCGCCTCCACCACGGCGCTTCCTGCCCGGCCCGGCCCGGCGCTGGCATTGTCACTTCCTCCCCAGCCGGCAGGGAGGGGACGAGGAGGGGCTGGCGAGGGGGTGTTGGGGGCCGGGGGGTGTTGGGGACTGGGGGGACCCTCACAGGGTGTCCAGAAGCACCGGTGGCGGCCTCTCCCCGTCCTGGCTGCATCAGGCCCAATCCCCAGGGAGGGCACATTCCCGCAGGCAGACACCAGTGCCATTGGGAAGGTGGAGGTGTCGTGCCATGCCATGGTGTGGGCACGCCTGGACACGAGCGAGGGCACACACGGGGTTACAGAGACCTTGGTGTGCCCGGCCCAGGGACACTGTGGCTCTGTGAGGGTCAGACACCACACGGTGAGGGCATGGCTGCCGGGACACCGTGGGGAGGCCTGGGAGCAGCACACGGAGCTGGAACCAGGGACAAGATGGATGCCAGGGAGCAAAGTCCCCGCTGGTCCCACGGTGAGCGGGAGGGGACCTGCCTCCCACCGCGTCCCCCAGCCCGGCACTCCAGCCCAGCCAGCTCGCCCTCAGGGCTCCCTGGCTGCCCTCTCCCCAGGGCAACTTGTGAGTGGTCCCAGCCGCCCCCCGGCCCCACTCCCACCTCGGCCTGGGGCTGTATCCTGGACACGGCGCCGAGAACAATCGCAGGGGCTGTGGGGCTTCCCGGGAGGAAATGGGAAGGCCAATGATGTGCTCTGGGTCGGGCGGTGCAGGGACTGGTGGAGGCCTGGCTGCGGGGTCTGGGGGGCCTGTAAGGGTTCAGGGTGGTTGTGGGGGCTCAGGGCAGCTGTGGGGAGCTCAGGCCGGCTGTGAGGTTCAGGGAGGCTGCGGAGGGGCTCAGCCCAGCAGGGGTTGGCAGGATGGGTCCTGGGGGCTCAGCCCAGCAGGCGTTGGCAGGATGGGTCCCGGGGGCTCAGCCCAGCAGGGGTTGGCAGGATGGGTCCCAGGGGCTCAGCCAGCGTGGGTGTTGGTGCCCGAGCTGCTCCCCTCAGTTCTGCAAGGCTCTGGCAGTGGCACTGGGACTGACTGTCACCACTGGCCATGCGGTGCCACTAGACAATGCCAGGAAGCTGTGCCAGCATGGGGACACGTGGGACATTAACTCTGGGATGGGACAGGCATAGTGGCCCATTGCATGACGTCCTGCCAGGACAGACACACAGCCCACACAGCACCACAGCCGCCCTGGATGGTCCCCATGCCATGCCACGCCATGCCACCCATCCAACACCTGCCTCCTCACACTTCCAGCCCCTCCACAGCCATCCTGGCCGAACCTGGTGCCCCAGCTTCCCTACCTGGGTTGGAACCAGACCCCGGCTCACTGGGCCCTCTGTGGCACTGGCATGTCCTGGTGCTGCTGCTCAGACACTGGGCCAGGGAGGTGCAGGGGAAGGGGAGACCAGGACCCACCCCATGGCCTGCTCCCTCCCTGGCTGCCCTGGCGCCCATCCCCATCCCTGAGGAGGGCCGGCGGCGGGAGCCTTCCTGCCCACCCACCCACCCGCTTCCTCCGGCCGCCAGGCCCTGGGAACAAGCGCTGCCTTTCTCCTGCTCCCTCCCCTCCGCTGGGCCCTGGCCAAGGAGGCTGCTCCACCAGGAGCCCGCCAGGCTGAACGGCCCCGTGCCCACCCCACTGCCCCAGGGGTGACACTGGGGAGACACTCCCTGCTGAGGAATGACTGGGGACAGCCCTCAGGGACCCTCATGCCCATCCCAGCCCAGAGCACAAGTGGCAGCTCCAGACTGGCGGGGCTGTGCCCGCTCTGCCAGGGGAAGGTGCTGGCAGAGCCACTGCCACCCATGGTACAACCCGCAGAAGGTGCCAGCCCCAGCTGGGAGCGGGGACACTGGCTTGGCATGCACAGCATGACACAGGTCAGCATGGCATGGCTCAGCATGGCACAGCACGCCCCAGGACAGCGTGGTACAGCCTGGCACAGCTCAGGACAGCGTGGCTCAGCGTGGCACGGCACGGCTCACCGACACCATGGCCCCCCCGTCCCTGCAGGGCTGCCCCAGCCAGCCCCAGCCTGTTCCCCCTCCAGCCCCCTGTGCCCAAGCCAGGCACACATCCCTGCCCAGGTGTGAGGAGGGTGCTCAGCCCCTCCTGCCACGATCTGCCCACTGGGTCCCTCTGAGGGGGTGCTGCGGACCCCCAGCCAGTCCCCACGGAGCCAGCCCGGTGCCCACCCCACGTGCCAGCTCCCCCCGCCCCACTCTGGCTCCCCTGGCATGGCAGGCTCTCCGCAGGGAGGGTATTTTTAGCAGCTCACACCCGGCCGGGGCTTCCCTGGGCTCCTGGCAGTGCCCGGGCCGGGCCATGCCAGCTCCACTCACTTGGCACCGGGAGCCGCCGGCCGATGTGCCGGCACCGGCACGGGGCAGGTGTGTGGGAGCACACGGGGATGGGCACCCCCCAGCCAGCTCCGGGCACCCTGGCACTGCCACCACCCCCCTACTGTGCCGGGGGGCTCCTGGGGCCGCCAGCTCTGCCGGCCAGAGCCCTCCTGGCTCCCAGGCTCCGGCTGTTCCTGACGACGTTCCCCACTTGTTCCCATGCCAGCATTGTTCTTCCACAGCAGCGGCTCCCCCCGCCCCAGCGTGTACCTCCCGCCCCAGCGGGAGCCTGGCCGTGTCCTCCAGCCCCAGAGCACCCCCATCCATCCCAGGTGAGGCTGTCCCACCTTCCCTGGCCCCCTGGCACCAGGATGGCAGGGATCAGGGACCATCGGGACAGGCATCACAGACCTGGAACTGTCCCAGCACAGGATTAACCCTTTCTACAGCCAGAAACTTTTATAAAAAGGATTTGCAACCTTCTAGGAGTGAAGGCGCCTCAGCTCAGTTTGTCCCCCCGGCCCTGCTCATCTCCCCATCCCACTCATCACCCTGGACCTGTTTGTCACCCCTCTGTCCCCTCCTGTGGGGATGGGGAGTGGGGACACAGCCTGAGCTCGGGAGATGACGGGTACCTTCCCTCTAGGCCTCCAGCATCCAGAGGAACCTGCTCCTCCTCCTGACACTGAATTCAACAGCTCCCCGATGGCACAGTGACACACCATGGCCCCCACGAGTGTCCCAATCCCCGGGTGACCATCCCTGTGCCTCAGCAGAGCCAGCTGCTGCCCCAAACCCTGAGCACCCCCTCACCCCACAGCCGTGGCCACGGTGTGGCTGGACTGGGGAGTCAGGAGCTGACTGAGCCCGGCGTGCTGGGGCGTCATCACCTGCCCCACAGGAGCCAGGGAAGCCAGTGGGGGCTCAGCCTGGGCTGAGTGGGGGTCCGGGGTCCCAGCCCCCGAACACGTGGGAGGGGCTCAGAGCTGCACTGAGTGGGATGGTCCCACCGGGGGCCACGGGGAGGGGGCAGCGCTGGGGGCCGGGGCAGACACCCCCTCCTGCCGCTCTTGGGGTCCCCTCTGGCCGGGTGCTGCGGCACGGGGGACGGGTGGCACAGTCCAGGGCACACGGGAGCCAAGGTCTCCTGCCACCGCGGCAGCGGGACAGGATGGCCCCACGGGGGGACACCCCCCGCCCCCCACCTGGCCCCGGCGCCCGTGGCTCACCTGGGCATTCTTGCGCTTCCGCCCGGGCCGCCCCGCTTTCCTCATGGGCGTCCCCGGCTCCTGCTTCTCCTCCTTGCTCGGGTTCTCCTCGGGCTCCTCTTCCCCCTGTGAGCCGGAGACAGAGAGGATGGTTATGCTGCCAGGCAGCCTGGGACGGGCACGGCTCAGCTCCCGCTCGGCACCGGGAGCACCGGCACAGCACCGGCACCGCAGGGGGACAGACGGGCACAGCACCGGCACCGCAGGGGGACAGACGGGCACAGCACCGGCACCGCAGGGGGACAGACGCCTGCCTGGCAACGTGGGAGCAGCGTGGCATTGCCGGGCCAGCGGCACCAGGACACTTAGAAGGGTGATAGTGGCTCCTGCCAGGCTCAGGCTGTGGCGCAGGCCGTTGTGGGCTGGGGGTCTCACCGAGTGACCCCCCTGCCTTTGTGCCACTGCGCCACGACTGGCTCAGGGGTGTCTGCCCGCTGCTGCAGCCCACCCGAGCCCTGCTGTGTGGGGCTGGGGGCTCTCGCCCCACGGAAAACGGGAGGGGATGCACGGCCCCCATGGCACGGCACATCACGGGCCTGCAGGCAGCTGTGAAGCTCCCTGGGGACAAGGGACGGCAGCAGGAGCCAGGTGCCTTTGGAGCAGGCAGCTGCCAGCTCTGGGGACCAAGCTGTGCCCCGGAGCAGCTGCCAGTGCCCCACAGCCCGTCCCCTCCCCGGTGCTGTGCCCTGGGCCTGGCAGAGGCAGGCGCCAGCATGGCGGCGGAGCGGGATCGTGGGCCGGGAAATGAACCTGCTCCCGCAGCAAGGCCGCGGCAGTGCCAGGGACCGCGGCGTGCCGGGGGAACCAGCCCCGCCCGGGGGTCCAGCCCGGCACGGCGGGGGGACGCGGCGGGGCGAGGGGTGCGCGGGGTCCCGGGGGGCGCGGGGCCCGTTTCACCTGAGCCCCAGAAGATCCCGGCGGCAGCAGCCAAGGCAGGAAGAGGCCGCGGAGGGGGAGCAGGGGAAGGAGGAGAGGCCGGCGGGGGGCTGGCGAGGGAGAGGCCGGGGAGGGGATGGGGCTGGCAGCCAGACAGCGCCGGCATCCAGCTGCAGCCGCGCAGCCCCGCACCCCGGCGGGCGCCAGCCCCGAACGCATTCCTGCCCCGCGTCCCCCCGGGCTGGGGCGGCTGCACCACCGGGATGCGGCTGGCATGTCCCCAAGGGTCCAACAGGAAGGTCTGCAGGGTCGGGACACACCGTGCCCCGTGGCCAGGGTGCATCATGGCCATGGTGCCCCAT